ACCATAACTAGCCCTGAGGGTGCTGCCTGTTTCCAGGCATAACATGTGAATCCTTTAAATTCAATTCAATTGCTCTACTTCCAACCCAAAGAGTAGGAGAATTCAAATTAGTAGGAGGGGAGGTGGGTCACCAATATCAAACTGACCTACCTCCTATGGTCAAATAGTCCATTGTCCCTCTGGTTTCCTCCTCAGCTTCCTTTTGTACTGAGTATCCAGGTGGCTGCCAGCCAAGCTGCCCTCATGACTTTCTCCAGCCTCAGAACTCTCTCTCACCTCCCACTGCTTCCCACAACAGGCTCAGAGACTGAGGGCAGCTACACTGTAAATGCATCTATGGGATGTGAGTATTGAGATTTTTTAGCAATGACCTAGTGACAGGTCTATGCTTTCTTTAAAAAAAAAAAAATTATCTATTTATGCATACAGAACTGGAGTACAGGCCAGAGATACAGGGGGTGAGATTCACCAGATACAGAATGGAGAGCAGAACAGGCAGATGGACTGAAGTACACTGCTGAGGGGAGCAGCAAGCAGGTCAGGAGAGGTCTGTGGCGCCATGTGGGTCACTTCCCTGGCCACGGATCAAGCTTGTGCTGAAGTGGCTGCAATAGCTTCACAGTGCTGCGCTTTAACCCGCTGTGTCCCTAGAGAGGGCCCTTGCTTCTTCTTTCACTGTCATTGTGGAAGCTCATACCCTCACACATTTAACAGGGTGAAATTTTGAAGGCAACTATCTCTGTCAAAGGATTTGGTCAGGTCCAAAATAGTGAACACTTTAAATGTTCCACAAATATGATTAGTCACCCTCAGTGGGTAAGGCTGTGGCAGTGGGGAGGCAATATGAAAAGTGGTTAAGAGCATGTTTACGAGACTCAAAGCTGGGCTTAAATTTTCTCTCTACCACTTCACTGGGCTAGTTACCTGACCTTGGTAGGCTCATGTTCCTCATATATAGTATCTTGAACTTCCCACCAATATTAGAAGGGCACAGTTGTTATCAGGGTTGATAAAGAATAAATAAAGCATATGAAATGTTTAGCGAGGTGCCTGACACAAAGGAAGTACCTGGCATATGTTAGCCATTATTATTTTGATCATGTTTATTATTAGAGTTGACTAAGAAATCGTTTCCAGGCTTCGCTGGTGGCCTAGTGGCTAAGTCTGAGTGCCATCACTGCTACAGTCTGAGTTTGATTGCCTGCTGGGGAGGTAACCCACATATGGTGCAGCAGACCTCTCCTGTCTCTGCTTCCCTCCTAGTTTATCATGCCACTGCTATCCTTCCTGCCACTCATCTTGCAGTGCTCTCTAGAAACATTTCCTATCATAATAAACCTACCTAAGTCCTCAGCTTCGCTACCAAATGCTCTTTCACTCTCCTCACTCGCAAAAAACTACCTTTTCCCATGGATAATGGATCCCAAGAACAACCATTCTCCTATGCCCCTTCCTACCCTAGGACTGTATCTGGGGATAAGGATGACCACTTTCTCCTCCACCCTCCTATAAAATCATATTCTTTGAGGTTCACAATATCAGTTATGTAATCTCTACTTGTCATTACTTAGTCTCAGTTTCCTGGCCACTCCCCTGTGTTCCCTGGAGACTTTGGTACACTGACTCACATGCACTTTTCCTTGCTAGCTCTTATCGTATCAATGCCCTGGCGATGTTGTATCTTTGCCAACAAACTGTGCCTATGCCACCATTGCGTATTGGATGTGTGTGGGCTGTCCAGATAGCTCCAGGAGCCTAGCCTCACCCGTTGTCCTTGACCACCCAACTCCAGTGAACTTCACTTCCATTTCACCCTCCCACGGCTGCTCACCAACCATACGCTGTATCTTATACCCCAAACTCAGTGTCCCACATTGTGATCAGAACCTGCTGTACCAGGAAGAACTCAAGGAGCCCGTGGAGAGATTCACAAAGCAACTGAGGCCTCTTGCCAAGATCCACAGACAGGAATTATCTTGAAAGCAAGATTAGCATGAAAAGGTTAGCACAAACCTTCAGATGGTGTTTGTAACCCTAGCTAAGATCTTGACTGCAATTTCATGGAAGGCCCTGACTCAGAACCAACCAGCTAAGTCACTCCCTTATATTTACCCACAGAAACTTTCAGAAAGAAAAATGTTTGTCTTAAAATGTTCAGTTAAGGGGTAACAGTGACTAATACTTCCTTTACTTCACTTGACCACTGCTTAGGATGTGACACTGGGGACCACTCCCTCTTTCATCTACTTTTCTCCTTTTGGCATCTGAGGAAGCAATCATCAGAGTTTTTTTAGTTTCCTGGTCAATCTTTGTCAGTTTTCATTAGTTCTTTACTGCTTGTCCCTTAAACACCAGTGCTCCTACTATTTCTATCCCATCTCTCATTGATTTTAATCACACCTCTGGTTAGCCATAATTAAAATTTTCAGCATGGGGCCTCCCTGGTGGCACCAGGAGTTAAGTCTCAGCATTATCAAGCTATCACCAGCCACTGTGGCATGAGTTTGACCTTGCCAGGGAGGTGACATACATGGTGTAGCAGACTTCTCCTGTCCTGCCTGCTGCTCCCTCAGCAGTTTATTTCAGTCAGTCCACCTCTTCTGCTTTGCACTCTGTCTCTGGTGAATCCTCTTACCTCCTGCCACCCCACACCACTGCCCTTTACCCCAGTTTTTCTATGCATAAGTAAATCTTAAAAAAAAATTTTTAAGGCCACCTAGACCTTTCTCTCAGGCTTAAATAACTGTATATTGGACAACTCCATTTAGATGTGGCCCCTGGCTCTTCATACTTACCTGAAATGGAACAATCTACTTTATTATTACCCTTGTCCCTCTTCCTGTGGCCCTTCCCACAGTGAGTAGAACTTTGTCCTCTCACTTGCTCAGACTCTGAAGTGATTTAAGGGCTGGGAGCTGAGTATGAATGAACTCTGCTTCCCCTGTTAGTGCCAGAGAGTCGTTGTTCTCCAAGTGGTAGCTGATACTAATGCTATTTTAGGCTAGTGGACTTTGGATAAAAGCACTCATTTGAATGCTAGCACTCAGTTGGATTTACCAAATCCAACTTGAGATACATTGCTCTGATTATTCTGGTTAATGGGTATTATATACAATTCCTTGAGTTTGTAGTAACTCAAATCTGTGTACTATGGCAAAACAAAATTCACTGAGAGTTTATGCTACAGTTAGTTGACACTGTGAATAAATCATACTTCTGGGAATGGAGGTGACTGAGCAGAGACTGGGTTTTTTGAGGGCGGTCATATGCTGCAGTAGGGAAGGCATTTCATTTTCTGATATCAGCCATACAATAGCATCAAATATAGCCAGAGAAGGTCAGCTCCCAGCAGGGCAGGCTGGTTTTCAGGCCAACCTGTCTAAGCTTGAATGAAGACATCAATCTGGTGCCTGGACTCTTAGGGACAGACTTTTAACCTTTGTATGAGTAGTCCCAACGAAGACCAGGCAAGACTGCTGACTGCTCATGGGAGGGACATGCATCAGGTTGCAGCTTTAACCAGGATTTGGATTATGGAAACCTAGGCAGTCACCTTTTTTCTTCTTTACGAGGATGGAGACTTGCCTTCATATGAGCAGAGGTGGCTTTCAAAGCGAAAGGAGAAATCAAAGCGAAAAGGATTTTTTCATAGTTACAGCTGAGCGGCAGGACTGCTGCATCTCATTTAAAATCATTTTGTAGGGCCCTCCCTGGTGGTGCAGTGGGTTAAAGCGCAGCACTAGGAAGCTAAAGCCATTACCGCATGAGTTCGAATCCCGCCTGCCCCAGAGGAGATCCACGTGGCAAGGCAGACCTCTCCTGACCCGCGCACTGCTCCCCTCAGCAGTGTGCTTCATCGCTCTGCCTGTTCTGCTACCCTCTCTATCTCTGGTGAATCCTCTCACCCTCCGCACTTCTGACCTGTATCCCAGTTCCATATGAATAAATAAATAAATCTTAAAAAAATAATTTTGTAAATGGGAAAACTAGGGTGCCGATGGGGTACGTTGCTGGTACTGGCGACTGATTTCAGAGGCTCAACTGACCCCATTTCTATCTCATTTGACGATTTCTTTCTTTCTTGTTCTCTTGACTCCTTCCCTCATCCACATCCAGCGAACTTCAATGCAGCTTTGAACTGCCTGGTCAGCAGGTTTGACTCACCAACACCGTTTCGGTACAGTGCACGCATCAAGCAGTCTCACCCGGAAGCTGGGAGGCTGCCTCGGCAAAGGGGACCTCAAAGGCAAGGGACGGGGAGGGGCACCCTGAGACATGCTAAAGTTTTTTCCAGAATGTACAGCCCAAGAGAGCCTCCCAAATGGAGTCCAGCCCAGCATGGCAATTACATTGCGGTGGAAGGACGGAGCAAGGGAGTGAGGTGCTGGAGGTGGCACCCCCGCGCCCCACTTATTTCTCTCTGGGCAGGGGGACAAAGTCTTACAGACGTGCAGGAAACATTTGCTGAGGGTAAAACTCATCTGACTCCTTCCAGAAGCCCCACAGAAGATTTGTTGCAAAGATGTGCGAAGCACATTTGCGAGACAGAGTCGCAAAGATGTACGTGACCCACAGGGTGAGCCGCCGCGCCCAGCGGCGCCCAGACCCGAACGCGCACGCGCCTGACGCCCCGCCCCGCCCGTGACGAGTGCGCGCGCGGCCTCCGACCCATCCCCCTCCCGCGCGGTCCCCTCCTCACAGCCTCCGCCGTTCCCCGCCCCCTCGTCTTCTGGGCTGTCCTCATCGCTGCCTGATCGGAAGTTCGGCAACTTCTGCCTTTCTGGTCCTCGCCGACAGGCCGAGGCAGCCCACCCTGGAAAATAGGGAGCCTTTTGCCCACGTGGCCGTTCCGGAGCAGGTTAGAGTGGACAGCGGGCAACGCTGCGGAGGCAGGCGCGGCGGGCAGCCCCAGGGGCATTGGCGGGGTCCTGATGGGGGGAGGACAGGGTTGCGGCGGGCGGAACGGTGTCTCCTTCACTTCGCCCTCCAGCCGCGGTAGCTGCAGCCGGACCTCGAGCTAGCCGACCGGCCTCAGCTACGAGCGGAACGGCGGCAGCCGCCACCCTCAGGAGACCATCAGGTACAGCCCCGTCCGCCCCACTCCACCCTGAGGGCTTAGGTCCCACGCCTAAGCTGGAGGCCTGAACCGGACTCGGGGTCGGCCCTGGCTCCCTAAGATGGCCGCGCGGCCCCTGGGCCCCTAGCCCCTCTGTCTGAGATACTCTCTGCTCCGTCGACCCAGTTCTTGCCCTCGCTGACCGCACTTTTTGTCCCTCTCGCAGATCACCTCTTCCCGCGGCCTCGGTATGGCGTCCTACGGATCAGGCTGCGCGCGGCGTAAGTATAGCGGGGATCTCTGCGGGACTCGGCGACCGTGTTGGGGGAGTCGAGTCCTGCCCACCCGAAAACCGCAGTCTCCTCTTAGCCCTCGGTTTTCCCCACGGGCCTTGGATCGTCGCCCCTTTCAGGAGCCACTGCACTCAGACTTTGCGGAGGAGGGGCTGGGCTGCTGGATTTCGGATAGGGGATAGACTGGGGGTGGGGGGGGGACAGGAGTGGGTCGGTAGTGTCGTTCACCTAAAGCTTTTGGACATGCTATTTACGAACTAAGAAGCAAAAGTTAATAATTCCGGGATGCGGTCTTTGGAGGGTTGTGTCAGTCAGTTTCCTAGAGGAAGTAGTAAACCCCCCTTGTGAGAACGCAAGGTCATTACATGTGCTCCTAAGGGCGTGGACTCGCTTTGTAGAATGAATGAGCTGGTGTAACCTGCTCGAGATTGCTTGCTTTAAGCATATAGCATTGGCGGATGACTTGACTGCCATTAATATGTTTAAAGTGCCATCTTATATTTAGTTAATGTGGACACTTAAGTGAAGCATAGATGATTGTACTTTGAGTTCTAATATTTACCTTCCCAGAGTCTCTTCCCACTCCTTAATGTTGGTTTTCATCCCAGTGAGATAGTGTGGGATAAATGGGGGGGGGGGAGTCAGAGTATCATCTCTAAGTTTTCACTTTTATCATTTGGTTGAATTAGCTCAGTATAGTGAATTTTGGCAGCTCTATATGTATGTATGTATATGGTATGTGTGTGTGTTTTGGTTTTTTTTTTTAAGTCTGGTGCTAGGAGGTGAGGCTTGTAGGTGCTGTGTAAATCTGGGTATAGAAAGTTTTTTTTTTTTTTTTTTTTTTACTTCGGAGTGTATTTTCAAAATTGTGTAGCCAGGTTACTGGGGTTATCCATTAGAATAAGCCTTTGTTGGTAATAACTTTAATGGGTATTGTAATTCCTTGGTGGTATCAAAAATGCATTTCCAGTAGGTTGAACAGCTTGATAATAAAGATCAGCATGGGGTTCATAGTCTGGTTCTTGTGTGTGTGTTTTTTTTTTTAGCATTATTTATTTATTTATGCATATAAATGTTGGAGTGTAGGCCATTGGTGGGGGAAGGTGGATGAGAGGATTCACCAGAGACAGTGGAGAGCAGGTGGAACTACTGAGAACAGGTGGATCTACTGAAATACACTGCTGAGGGGAGCAGCTGGTGAGACAGAAGTCTGTGCCATGTGGGTGAGCTCCCAGGCCAGGGATACAGTGGCTGCCTATTGCTTCAGAGTGCTGAAAAGTAACCCTTTGCACCACCAGGAAGGCCCCATGGTCTGGTTCTTGTACAGAAAGTGAGACAACAGTAATATTAACGCTGGAATATTTCTTCCCACCAGCAATGTGTATTCCTCCATCATATGCTGACCTTGGCAAAGCTGCCAGAGATATTTTCAACAAAGGATTTGGTAAGAAGTAAAAAAAAAATTAGATCCGAAGTGAAAATGTGCATTTGGATTAAATATGTATTTGGGAAATTAATACTTTTTTTATATTGTAACTATCTCGCTACATTAATTATTGTTACATGCATTTCAGATAAAATTTCTATTAAAATAGTTCTTTAAATTCTCAGAAAAGGAAAAACTTTTATTTTCCTTCAGATGTACTTTTGGCCTTGATTGACTAGAATTAAGATGTACTACTACTGTTTTGCTTTTGTGGTGGTGATTCTAAAGGTTATGAACCTTTTCAGGTGAATTTGGGTTTTCTTTTTGAATATTTTTTGCCATTTTGTTCCTCATCCCCATTTTTGCTTGTTTTCTCAGCTTAGATTATTAATTCTACGAGGAAGTACCCCTTTGGGATAAATGTTTTATTAAAACATAGATATTCTGAGATTTAAGTTCCGTTGACTTTCTGATCTGATACTTAGTTTTAAAATGGAAAGCATTTTTTAGGAGGTGCCAGTTGTACACCACACTAGCCATGCTTCATAGAGATGTTCTGTCTTTTAAGTGTTGATTTACATAGAATAATTAAAATTCTTTTCATTTAAGTGTCATATATTGGTACATAATTTATATTCCTGAGTATGTGCGAGCTTCCTGCTTCTAATGTATGACAACTATTGGTGCTCATCTTTTATACAAAACAATAATTTTGTTTTTTGCTCTCTACTTGAAGGTTTTGGGTTGGTGAAACTGGATGTGAAAACAAAGTCATGCAGTGGTGTGGTGAGTGTTAGACAACACAGGTTCTGATGTTCCTTTATATAGTTTCTGATCTATCAGTAGTCATTACAAAATGATGCTTATTTTAAAGTAGAGGCAAAAGTTAAGTATATGTAAGGAATTTGTGTAATAATATATTTTGGTTTTGAATATAATTTCTTACTTTCATGCTTTTCATCATATCACTTTACATGCCCTAAGAACTCAGAAAAGACACTATTCATGTGGGTCTCTGTTTCCTCAATAAGATCACCAGCTTGAAGGCAGAGTATCTATTACAGTTTTATTGCAATTCTTTCATTTAATGTCTGTTAAAATCATTGAGAGTTCTGGTCATAAAAGTTTTCAATAACTCTTAATCTGAGTGTAGTGATCATTTATACAGTGTTCACGTAGTGGTCTTCCTTGAGGGTATTGTGTGAATTTAGAGTGCCTGATTTTTATTTTTATTTTCATTTTTAAATAAGGAATTTAGATAATTTATTTTTAAAAAGGAATTTAGATAACTTAATTATTCTTTTTTCCTAACAAACTTCCTCAAGGGAGTAAAGTAAAATTTAGGTTTGTGTAATTTTTTTTTTTTTTCTGTTTTAGGGATTGGTATAGTGTGTGTATAGGACATTATTGGTTATTTTGATATATACTTGCTTGTAGTTGTTAACTACCTTATTGCACATAAGTGGTATTTATTAAAATTAATCATGTTGCAGTTTCTTAATGCCTAGACTTAAATTTCTGGTCACATCTGTCATTTGGCTTCTTTGGTCTGAAAAGAAGGCTGAATATTCAGTATGGTTTAATTACTTCCTAGCTCAAGATGTCAGATCACAGAGCAGTGACTTAGTGTTTATTTTTTTTCTTTTAAGATTTATTTATTTATGCATACAGAACTGGGGTACAGGCCAGAAGTGCAGGAGCAGTGAGAGGATTTACCAGAGGCAGAGCTGTGAGCAGAACAGGCAGATTGACAAAGTATACTGCTCAGGGGAGCAGTGGGTGGTGGGTCAAGAGAGGTCTGCCATGCCATGTGGATTCCCCTCCCTGGCCAGGGAATCCAAATCATGAAGAGGCTGCAGGCAAGCTTCATGGTGTTGCACTTTAACCTGTTGCGCCACTAGGAAGGGCCCGACTTAGTGTTTGTTTCTGTAGTCTCGCTCTTAACCTGTTGAGACCCCCAAACACTTGGTGTGTATTCATTGAAATACAAAAAAAAAGATCTTTAATAAAAGAAGTCAATTTTTTTTTTAAAGATTTATTTATTTATTCATATAGAACTGGGGTAAAGGCCAGAGATGCGAGGGTGAGAGGATTCACCAGAGACAGATTGGGGAGCAGAACAGGCAGATCAACGAAGTACACTTCTGAGGAGAGCAGCTGGCAGACCAGAAGTCTGCCGCACCATGTGGATCTCCTCCGGGGCAGGCGGGAATCGAACTCATACGGAAGTGGCTTTAGCTTCTCAGTGCTGTGCTTTAACCCGCTGCGCCACCAGGGAGGGCCAGAAGTCAGTTTTTGTTTAAAAGTTTACTTGCAGGTTGGAGAGACAAATTTTAAACAGACAAGTATATCAGGTACTAGTTTGATAAATCAAGATCTTTGTTAGCAAGTAAATACTTGCGGAAAAGTTTTATGAAATTAGGTTTAAAGTCATGAAAGATGTGTAAGAGCTGGATTAGAGTAGATGAAGTATGTCCTTGTTTTCATTTTATGCGTTGTATTTTTTAAGCAAATAGTCCCAAATAGTCTCAGTAATGCCTGCTTTTGTTTTCTTATCTGAACTTCAGAAATGTCCAAAGCACCCCAGAATGTAGAAGTCTGATTGTCTGGTGGTGGAGTGAAGAGTATAAGCTCTGCCAGTGTTATCATCTGACCCTGTTTTGTTCCCATTATGTGGTCTTGGCTTTGTATCTTGAGGATTCCTTGGCATGTATATAGGTTTGCTATTAATCTCTGTGGTAGTGATGATGATGATGATGGATGACAGTGGGTAGGGTCTCAAACATCATTAATCAGTGTCTGTCAAGATTAAAAATAGCTATTCATACATTTTCACTCCCAAATGTTTGCTAGAAGATGCTCCATATATGTTGTGCAGAGCATGTGAAAACATGTAGACCATTTTAGTCCTACAGAAGTAGGTTTTGTTGTTTTGGTTGAGGAAATTGAGACCCCCCAAAAGAAGTTGTCTTCAGTGTTGTTCATTTAGTGAAACAGCTAGAAATGAATGCCAGGACTCCTTATTATATCCAATGTTCTTTCCTAACATAATCCAGTGTGATTTAGTATAGGCATTAAGTGCCAAGCTTGACTTGAAATTCCTGTTAAAGATATCTCTTATTTCAGAACATTGTGTATAAGACGTAAGTATTTAATTTTGCTTCACTACAAAGCAGTAGTTACACAAAAATTCTTTTTTCTCAGTGAAGGATCTTGGCCTTTTCTCCTATTAACAGAATTTTGGATATTTCCTTGCTCTTCTAGCTATCATACTTTGAGGTTGGAGTCCTCTGCTAGTTCCTGTCAGCTGTCTTTAGACTACTTTCCAGTGCCCAGTGTATATAACCATGATTGGAAGACAACTTGTGGACCAGAACTTCTGAGGGCATTTTAATTTATATTGGAAGATTTCAGTAGTTTGCCTGCATACTGACCTTTTCTCAGTGATAATTAGATTTTTGGGTTATCTGTAGCCAATTTTAAGTTTCAGAAATCTTCTTTATATTATGTCTTCCTTTTCAGTTAGTTTGCAATTAGGGATTGGCAAGTTACTTTTATTTGCTACAAATACATGATTATATCATACATTTCATGTTGACCTCTTTGTTTATATTTTCTTCTCCACTAATGTTATCTGTTGTATACATTACAGTTTCTGGTATGCCAATATAAGCCAGTTGTAGAGCAAATCTGCAATTTCCTCCTCCTTCTATTTGAATGTTTGTTTGTTCATGCATACAAGAACTGGTGTGTACAGGCCAGTGGTGCAGGGGGTGAGGGAATCCACCAGAGACAGTGGGGAACAGAACAGGCAGATTGACTGAAATACACTATTGAGAGGAGCAGTGGGCAAGACAGAGGTCTGCTGTGCCATGTGGGCTACTTCCCTTGCCCCAGGGATCAAACATGGGCTTCATTGGCTGTGGACAGCCTCATAGTGCTGTGCTTTTAACCCCTTGTGCCACCAGGGAGGGACCTCTTTTTTTATTTTTTAAAGATTTATTTATTTATTGATGCATACATAGCTAGGGTACTGTCCTGAGGTGACGGGGCAATGAGAGGATTCACCAGAGACACTTGGGAGCAGAATAGGGAGAATATTGAAGTACACTGCTGAGGGGAGCAGTGGGCGTGTCAGGAGAGGTCTGCCACGCCATGTGGGTCACCTCCAGGGCAGGAGATTGAACGCGCCCAGTTTTTAATTGAGTGTGTTGAATGTGGTTGGAAATGCATGAAACCTGGTAAAGACACTCAGAAACCACAGTGTTGGGATTACCAAGAATTTAAAAAATATATGTATGTATTTATGCATACAAGAACGGGGGTACGTGTCAGAGGTTAAAGGAGTGAGAGGATTCACCAGAGATGGAGTGGGGAGCAGAACAGGGGGATGTACTGCAATATACTGCTGAGGGGAGCAGCAGGTGAGACAGGAGAGGTCTGCTGTGCCATGTGAGTCATCTCCCTGGCTGGAGATTGAACTCATTCTTCAGTAGCTGCGGATAGCCTCACAGTGTTGTGCTTTTTTATAAACATCTTTTGTTCTCCACATAGAGACCTACAGTGGGGTGCTGTTGCTTTGAACATTTTCAGAATATCAGTATTTTATTCAACATTTGGTAGATTGAGTGCAATTGGCAAAACATCTGTCTGTCTCCCCACTTCCACCCACCCTCCTTCCCACTGAGTCACCAGTTCACCTTGGCATTTTCCTTAAGAGGGGTACAGTTTATTGTTCACTTGAGAATTAGATACAGGTTAACTTATCATGATTGATTAGAAATGTTAGCTGTAATAAAAGGTGGTGAGCTGTAACTCATAATAGGCTGACATGTCACTCTTCTAAATAATTAGTAGCAGAGGGTAAGAGGATTCAGGAGCTTAAAATTATACAGTGTTAGAGTGGGGGTTTTGGTTAATGTCTTGTGTAAATTAAACAGTGGATTTCTTCTAGGTTTACAAGAAAATTCATAAAGGTCTTTATTGTCTTATTAGGAATTTTCAACATCTGGTTCATCTAATACAGATACTGGTAAAGTTACTGGGACCTTGGAGACCAAATATAAATGGTGTGAGTATGGTCTGACTTTCACAGAAAAATGGAACACTGATAACACTCTGGGAACAGAAATTGCTATTGAAGACCAGGTAACCTTTAGAAAATGTGCTTTTTTTAATTTTATTTTTGTATTTTGAAAAGACTGTACAGTTGAAAATAAACTCTTTCTTTCAAACTAGATTTGTCAAGGTTTGAAACTGACATTTGATACCACTTTTTCACCAAACACAGGGTAAGCATGGACATTTTTATCTTTTAAATTAAAAGTATTCCTCTTCTGTATATTTAGGAAAAATGCACATTTACTGTTTGATAGCACACTCGGCTGCCTTGGTGAATTTCTGTTCTGCCTTGGAACACTGCCATTGGCTTACTTTCAAATATTTGCCTCTTTATTGTGGCACTGACTTTGGTAATTAGCATGTTTCCGAGCGACCTGTGAGTGGTTGCCAGTTCTTTGAGCAGTCTTCCTAAGGTGGTGGCAGTCTAATTACCCCATTTGCCCCTGTGTGCTCAATTGGAGTTAATTTTTTTCTTTATCCTTTTATGATTATTCTGCTACTTGTTTTACTCTCTAATTACATTGCAGTTTACTTTGTGCCTTTTCTGAGTAAGTAATGGATATGTTACAGATCTTTCTTATCGGCATTGTTTTTAAGTAAGTTTTTTCCTTTTCCAGAAAGAAAAGTGGTAAAATCAAGTCTTCTTACAAGAGGGAGTGTATAAACCTTGGTTGTGATGTTGACTTTGATTTTGCTGGACCTGCAATCCATGGCTCAGCTGTCTTTGGTTATGAGGGCTGGCTTGCTGGGTACCAGATGACCTTTGACAGTGCCAAATCAAAGCTGACAAGGAATAACTTTGCAGTGGGCTACAGGACTGGGGACTTTCAGCTACACACTAATGTGTAAGTACTTTTTAAAAATCTAGGTACAATCTAAAGGATTTCTTTACATGAAAATACCACTATCCCTGGGCATTTCTAGGGTACCCCTTTATAAAGTATACAGTAAAAAAATATTTGACTGACTTCTGATGAAGAGAGAGGTAAATGTTCATTTTCATATGAGACTTGCTGTGCTTTGGTTTTTCAGAAAACACTAAACATTCATTTCACTTAATTGTGACATTTGAGAGACTGTGATACGATCTTTACCTCATCAACATATAGATGTATGGAAAAGACTTGAGAGAATGTTTCTCTCTTATAAAAACAATGCTTTGGTAAATAACAGAAGTACAAAGAAGAAAGCCAAGATTTCCCATAATTCCATCATCTAGATATATAATCTTTTTAATGTTTTGGTGTTTTGCCTTTTTATAGTTGTATATATTTCAATATTTTAGTGGACACTAGAGATCTATGAGAGCACTATTATTTAAATGTAGTAATACAATGTTAGCCTAGTGCTGTAGACAGTATATTGTCTGTGCTAGAGATACTAATTTAAAATATCTTATAGCAACGATGGGACAGAATTTGGAGGATCAATTTATCAGAAAGTATGTGAAGATCTTGACACTTCAGTAAACCTTGCTTGGACATCAGGTACCAACTGCACTCGCTTTGGTATTGCAGCTAAATATCAGCTGGATCCCACTGCTTCTATTTCGGTGAGCACTACTGTGGGCTTAGAATGGGGTTTTTGGTTGTAAGAAATTGTCTTTGAATCTGTTCAGTTGTGTTGTAAATTTGAACTGTGTATTTATAGAATCTGTAGTTTTCATTAGATCCTGAGGCCTGGCCTTAGGAGTTCTTTAAGCTCAAAGGAATTACTGTTGATGATAATTCTGAGCTCCATGCCTGTCAAAACCCAGGGAAAATAGTATTTTGGGCCCTGGGTAGTTCTCACCCATGTTGGGGGAGGGACAGGTAACAGTAACTCACTTGTTACTTTGATTTTGTCTTTTATGGTTCACAAAGTATTTTCAGATTTGAGCTGAGTGGTCACTGGTACAACTATCATTTTGTAGACCAAAGCTTAGATAGGGAAAGGTTTTAAGAGTATTGCTGGGTGGAGGGAAGGAGAGGTAGAGCCAGTATTGGACCACATGTCTTGATGTCCCTCCTGTTTAGGGTGACCAGCTCCTTCTGATTTATCTGGGACTATCCCAGCTTTAGCACTAAAAGTCCTGCATCTTTAAGACTTTCCTCCTATATGGGGTTAGCTGGGTGGAATGACCACCATAGTCCTTTCTGCTCTTTCTTTATTTAATCATACTGGGAATGGGGTAGGAGGGAGTGAAGAATCTGAGGGTGCGGAGGGGTTGGCTCTAATTTCAGGCAGATCAGCAGCTGTTCTTGTGTGATCTGTATAGGTCAGGAACTGCCTGTACTGTATGTACTAGGAATGAAAGCAAAACCTTCCTTGAGAGTTGTTTCTGTTACATAATCTACATTCCAGAGGACGATGTGTTTTGATAGTTTAGACAGTTAAGTTTTAGTTCCATTCTTTTATCTTAGTGTAGTTATAATCAGAATGAGAAGTACCCAGAATGGTTTTCTCAGACAGCAATTCATTTATTTTTTGCTTCCTTGTTTCTGACTGCACAATTCCAATAAAAACCTCAAGATTTACACAGCACACTTCTCTGGTGTAGTTATACTGCTGCTCTCTACAAATGTGTATTTATGGCACCACTCCAGATTAAATGCTGGTATAAGATACAACTCTCTTATCTAAAAAGGAAGCAAGTTTTGACTTAATGTGTCACTGCATGACTCAGAGTTAGTTGGAACGATAGCTAGCATTTCCCACCTAAGTAGTCTTTCTGTTGTCCCAGTCAAGCATCATCATGAATGCCCCATCACACTTGCATGGTAGGAACCAGTCTCCCAGTTGTCTGAGGTACTTAATTTGTTAGGACAAGATGGTCTCTTGTGGGGCTTTTCTTTCTTAGACCAGTCAAGGTCATTGGTGGGTGAATATAGGTACTATTTATGTGGGTTATCATGTGGGTGAATATAGGTACTATTTATGTGGGTTATCATGTCTTAAGTTGGGCCTTACAGAAGAGTATATAGACATCCAGTCATTTCCAGATCTGTTTTGATCCCAGGGATTATCTTTTTACTGTAGTAACGTTGAAGAGCAGAGTTGCCTGGCAGGGCTCCCTAGGTCCTGGAGATGTGCTTTCCAGTGTTCATTCCAGTTGTGCTTTCCAGTATTCATTCCAGTCTTGACTGGACTAAATCCTTTAATAGAATTATGCAAGGAGAGCAAGAAGTGGAAGTGATGCCCCACTGGAACTTTTCAAGTGCATACTGGCTTCAAATTGGCAAGACCAGGTGCATTAATGAGACAATGATCATCTGAGGGTAAAGGATTTTTAGTCAATTTGATCTTCAAAGAAAATGTTTGCCATTTGAAAGTTTTAATATTCATGGTTTTGAAGATTTTTTTCCTTATATTTGCTTTTGTATTTTTATTATAGGCAAAAGTCAACAACTCTAGTTTAATTGGAGTGGGCTACACTCAGACTCTGAGGCCTGGTGAGTATTCTTGATGAAGTAGGTTTGCTTTAGTAGTGTCTTAAAAATTATTTTCATTTCCCAGCTTCTTAATAAGCAAACCTTTCAAGCATACAGAAGAATTGATAGATTACAGTGCACATGTTTATTTTTTGCCATATTTTTAAATTTAAATTCATTGTTTTGCTGGGCTGTTTGGAAATATTGTTAAACTTTTCTAAATGGAGAACATTTTCCCTATCTCATATATAATCACAGTGTTGCTACTGCATCTAAGAAAGTTAACATATTTAATACTCTTATCTAATACTGATTCATTTCTGTTCACTTTCCTTACTCATACCTGAAATGTAGTAATTTTAATTTCTTGTGTTCACTCACTGCTTTTGTTCAGTCTGTAGTCTCATTTGCATAGTGTTTTGAACCTTGTATTTTTGCAGCTCAAACCTCTGCGTGAACTATCTGAGGAACCTTGTTAGAATGCAGGTTCAGTAGTTTCAGGGTGCACACTCTTCTAACAAGTTTCCTGTTGATGCCAGTGTTGCTAGTTCTTGAATTACCATTTATTTGAATAGCGAGGCTCTAAAGCACTTGGAATTTCCCCCCAAATATAGATTTTCACCCATTTTTACTCTGTTAAAATCTAAAAAAAACAATAGTACTATAACCCCTTCTCATGAACCCTTACCCACTTTCATCGATCAGACTTTTTCCACATTTGTTTCCATTCTATATATTTAATTCTGTTTTCTTTTTTCTTACAACTTTGAGTTTTTTAAATGGGTATTTTACAGACTTGTAGATATATCAGACATAGTGTGCATAACCTAAAGAATGAATATTTTCCTTCATAACTACAATATTATCACAACTAAGAAAATTAAAGACTATTAATAACCTAATATGCGGACTTTTCATATTTCCCCACTTGTCCCCATGTCTTTATTGTAGTTTTTCCTTTCTAGAAAATAATTTTCTTTCTGTTTTCTTTTCTTCTGGATAGTATATTGAACATTGTATTTTGTAGAACACTTTGAACTTTAGCATTTTTATGCTCTGTGACTTAATGTCTTATTCAGGATCCCTCCAACTGAATTGTCTCAAGTACTCACAAGCGCCCTCTGGTGGCTGACATTGCAGAAGTGACTGATTCTGGGATGGTTTTTATAAAGACTGTAGACTTCCTAAGTGTTGGAGGCACATCATGGCTGTCTTTTTGTTTACAGGTGTGAAGCTTACATTGTCTGCTCTGGTAGATGGAAAGAGCATTAATGCTGGTGGCCACAAACTTGGCCTTGCCCTGGAGTTGGAGGCTTAATCCAGCTGAAAGAAATCTCTGACGTTGGATATCAGAAGATTTGGCCTTAACATATTTCCAGTGTGACCAGCAGGCTCTCTCCCCTCTCCCTCCCCTTGAAGGTGATCAAAAACCAGATGATCTACAAACAAGAGCTGTATTTTAAATATTTAGACAGTTACTTGTTAGCTGGTTTCTAGTTGGATTGGTTATCTAGTTACCAATACTGCAGATGAGCAGTCACCTATACATTATTTAAATGTATTTAACTGTTAAATGCGCTACCCACCAATAATGAAATAGACCTTTATGAAAACTGCAGTCGTGTGCATGTTTGTTTTTATGTTCCTTTTAACATTGAATATTGCCATTGAATAAGATGGATCAGTGGATGTTATGAGGTCTAAAAATTTTTTTGTTAAATCCAGCCATCTAATTAGGATTACTTTTGGTATCTCCAAACGTTACAAATTATGAATAAAATAAGTATATATTATTAATGACTCCAAGTATTTGCAAAATTAAAAATTTGCTAGCTAGGGTCACATCCCTTATAACCAGCTAATACTCTGTTTTTGTGATGAGCATTGTGCTCTTTATCTAAATCTGTGCCAGAGTCCTCTCTGTTCTTAAGAGTAACCCCATGACCTTTACAGAAATACAGTAAGAGGATTTATGCTTTTACAGCTTCAGTTTATCCAAAACTACATTGTTACCCCAGGAAGGGTCAGAGATTAAGTGATGGAGAAAGGGAAGTGAAGGGATAGTGCTGAAAGGTAGTATCCTTGTGAACTATTACTGTGGAAAATGAACTAGGCTCTGGTTAGGTGGGAAGGGGCTGTGTGTAGGGAAGTTGAGTAGGGTGTAGTTTCATTAACCAGAGGAACTGAGAGGGTGTATATGGATTTAGTGAGAGATTGCTATACCTTTCTGGGCAGACACTGACTAAACAACTTGCATCCAAGTTTTAAGCCACAGGCAACTCCTTCAGGCTGTGTGGCTATTGGCCTTCATCTGGACTAGAATTGAATAGAAGTCGATAGGTGATTTCTGGTTGGAAAAGTAGTAAAAGGAAAGAATGTTTTTTGATCAGGGAAAGGTGAGTGCATAGTTCGAAGGATGTGACCAAGAAGAGAAGGGTAGATTTGTAGTGCTGGATCTGAGGTAGTTTGAAGCTTGAGAGGATCAGAAAATATAATTCATTGGGACTCAGTATCCACAAAAGGATAAATGCTGCAAATACCCAGGGGCAACCTATTGTGAGATTAGAAACTCAAACAGCCTCTGCACACAGATGTACTAAGGCTACAAAGCCACTTCTGGCCTTACTGTGTGTCTAAGGGATTGGCTAGAATAGCCTATGTAGTAAGACACACAACTTAATGGTTTAAAGTTAGGATTTGAACCAATTTGAGTTAGAAGTGATTACTAGAGAAAGTCAGAAAAGTTGTCTGTGTGAAAGCACCCTGTACGTGTAGAGCAGCAGACAGCTCTGAAGCTGTGGGTAGTGACAGGTGGGGAGTGGCCTTCATGCTGTGGCTAGGGCTCACCTGGTGCAGTCCTCTGGCCTGGACTCTCGCCATATGCTGTATGTGTGGTAGAAGTCAATTACCAGTTATTCTAGGATCTACTTAATGAAAATTGGACCAATTCGACATGTATATCAACATCCTTTTATGAATGGGAGGAGGTAGCTTCCAGCCAGGGCCCAGGACACAAGTTATAATCCCGTAGCTGTAGGATTAAAGTTGCCAGCTGAGGACTCACTTTCAGTGATCTTTGTTAAAGATCACTGAACCTAATTGTACTGCAGGCTGAGGACACTTTTGCCTGACTTAGTGTTAGGAGGTAGGACATTTAAAATCTGATTAGCTTTTCATCTGTTATAGAGATACTCTTCCTATAGGATTCTGGAGAAGTGAAGCACCTAGTCTACAGCTGTTGGTGCTGAAAGACTTTCCCTTCGTCCATCTTTGGAATTTGCTAAAAATTGCCATGACGGTGTGCTTAGATTTGTCTGCTTCACACCCTGCTGCCAGAACACCTTCCTTCAGGATTTTAGGGGAGGGGAGGTTGACTCCAGTCAACCTTGAGGTCCTCAGGTCCAAGTCAGCTGGCCTGGTTCACACAGAGGTTATGTCCACTGACCAGAGTATCTGCTGTACCTGTGAGGCTAACCTAACAGTTCTGGGAAAAGAAAACATGGGCATATTACCACAGCGTGGCATAGCCAAGTCCCCAGTGACAACCCTGGTCCCCTATAAGTCCTTTTAACTGCAAGGAACAGGACCTTCATTTACCCCTTCTAGGAAAGGGATGTAAGCGGGAGACCAACAACTAATCAGCACCCAGCCTTCAGATCTGTGACCGGAGGCAAACCTGGAAAATAGAGGTTCCTGTGGTTGAGTCACAGCCCTGGTGCAGGTGGCCCCAAGGACTGTCAGGAAGGGACTGAAAGTCTGTGAGGCACCCTTATGGTAAGAAACTTACACTGGGACCTTCCCTTCCTATCCAGTTCAGTGCCACATGGAGGCTCAGATGATCTGGTCCCAGGCCCCACTTTATTGTTGGGTTTAAAGCTCAGGGGTGATAGCTAGGTTTCCCATTACCCCCCTTCCAGGGTATTGGTTAGGGGCCAGCCCTAGATCTTGAAGGCCAAGGTGAGGCCGTCACCCAGGGGCAGGAGACTGATGTGAACCCTTGCGTCCCGCAGAATGCGCTCATTCAGGTTTCTCACACACTCAGCCTCTGTGTCCCGCTTTTGAGGCTGCAACACCTCACCGCGCCACAGCACCTGCGAGAGGGGAGGGCCGTGACGAGGGCGGGACCTCGAGGGGAGGGGTCTGCCTGAGCAGGAGGAGGGGCTGGAGGCAGGCCCGGCCGGGGAAGGCGAGGGCTCGGCGGGAGTACGCGCCTCGGGGGCGGGGCTCACACAAAAGTGCAGGGTGGGGCCGTGGGGCGGGGTGTGCGGGACCTTCCCGCGTAGATCCACCCCTCCATCCCTTACGCTGAGCACCGCGAGGACGCCTCCGGGACGCAGCAGCTGCAGGCACCGCTCGTAGTAGGCGGCACAGTTCTCCTTGTCCGCGTCCACCACCGCCACGTCGAAGGTGCCGGCCTCGCCTGCGGCCAGGAGTTCGTCTTGCGGGGGGGGGGGGGGAGGGGCAGAAGCGGCTGAGTCTGCGGCCTTTCTACCGGAAGCCCCTGCCCAGGTTGGTCCTGCTACCCTGCATGTGGCTGCAGACTGAGGCCGGGCACCGGCGTCCATCAGTGCCCCAAGCCCGCCCGGCTGGTCGGCTAGCTTGCGCCCAGTGGACCCACTTGGCAATTGGCACCAAGGCCCTTTCCTTTCCGGTGCTCACCCAGGGTCTCCAGGGCGGGCTTCAACCGGAGGTCGATCTTGTGCTCCTCCTCAGCCTGCGGAAGAAGCGGGTTCAGAGTCAGGAAGTCCCTTCTCCCGGGCTGTCAGTGGCCTAGCTCCCGGGGCCTGAAGGGGGCCTCAGAAGGGCAGGACACTCACCTGCCTCCACAAGGGCCGCCCCAGCTCAGGGGGTCCAGCGTTCACCTCGCAGGTCACCACGCGCCCGGCAGGGGGCAGCGCCAGGGCCAGCGACAGGGCTGAGTAGCCGGTGAAGGTGCCTGCGGACAAGCACCCGCACAGGCTCAGCCCATAGTGGGGGACGGCCGGGCAGCCTCCGCCCCAGCCCCTCGTGATTCTGGCCTCGCTCCTACCCAGGTCCAGCGCCTTCTCGGCCTTGATGAGCCGCGCCAGGTTGGCCAGGAGCTGGGCCTGTTCACAGGTCATCATGGAATCCCCGTGCGGCTGCTCCAGGGTCAGCTGTGTGGGGGTGACAGGATCGCGCAGGCCCGCGCTGGTCACCCACCCCCGCCCCGGGCTCGGAACCCCCAGGGGCGTGACCATGCGCGTGGCCTCTAGGGGAGGGGCCCTCAGGGAACGCCCATCGTCTCGGGCCTGGGGAACCCGGAAGCCGGGCGGGGACCACAGCCCAGCCCAAGGTCACACAGCCACGTGGGGCCCGCCAGGCCCGCCGTGGACGCCCGTTCCCTCCCCCGGCCCTGCTGACCAGCCGCAGGCTTCTCAGCGCCGGATGCTCCCGCATGGAGCGGCTCAGCAGATACTGCCACAGGGGGCTGTCCTCAGCTGGCAGCAGGCGCTTCTCTCGCCGGGATCGCCAGGAGGGGCACCGTCTCCCTGCCGCGGAGGGGGCTCGGGTCAGGGCCTGGGGCCCTTCGGCGCCGGGGATGAGCCTTAGCTACAGAGTCCTGGGGCAGCTCCCTGGCCCTCTCCACCCACCCGGGACCTGCGGATGGTTCTGCAGGCCCGACCTACTCACCCAGAAAGAGACCAGTGGCGAAGGCGGCACCCAGCGCGGCCGAGCCCAGGGCCAGAGCGGCTGGCATTGAGAGCCGGGGTATAGACTGGGTCATGGCGCGGGCAGGAGGCGACTGTGGCCAGGAAACTTGCACGGGGGCTACGCTGACCGCTCTCTTACCCGCGGGCTCTGGCGGCTCCACCTGGTCGGGGCGCCGCTCTCTGTGCAGCGGCCTCGAGCACCATCTGGCGGCCACACGGCCGTACTGTAAGTTCCGCCTGGGCGAGTTGGGCGCCATCTCGTGGCGCAAGCCCAGCTTCTGGGGTTTGGGTTCTTCCTTGAGGCGCACGTAGCCTAGGGACATGGGTCAGGGAGGAAAATTTTGATGTGTCTCTGGGTTGTGCTTTTTCGTCTACACTACCATTTCTGCTGAGGCTCCTTGGGGGAATCTATAGGTGGGTGAGAGGATATTGCGCCTCAAATAACAGTAAAGGGTATTAGGTGATAGACATTAAAGGAGACCTGGGGGAGATGGAATCAAGGAGGACCTCTGGGGAGACGTGACCAAGGGTATCAGGTTGAGGGGTGAATGAAGGGCTTAGTTTGGAGGGACACAAGCAGAGGTAGGACTTGGGAAGCCCTGTAGGATCTGGTTGATGGATTGTTGAGGTTATGGCCTTAGTTAGAATCCTGCCCCTGAGTGCCAGACTTGAGGTCTTGACCTGTCAGTCTCTCTGAGTCTTGGTTGCCTGTAATGGGAACAATAGTCCTTATGATAAATGGCACCTTATCCTGCAGCCTGGTGCACAGTAGCTTCTCACAAATGACAGCTGTCATTATAGTCACAGGCTGGAGTAAAGAGACCTGAGAGCTTGTGAGGGTCTCTGCAGCACTGTTCAGTGAACATTGGTTAAACCTACTGTGTGTTGAACTCTGGGGGAGGTGAAAGAGCTGGTCCTGGTTTTTATTTTTCCTGAAGCAGGTTTGGGAGGCCACAGAATACACAGAAGCGGTGAGAATCCCAGGCTTCGCAGTAACCTCTTCCATAAGGAGGGTTTATTGATAACCCTTTCAGGGGAACTGAAAAATTTGTGTGAAGGACTTCCATAAGGCTTGACAATAAAAAATATTTGTATTTTATTTATATGTACAAGAATTGGGG